TAAATTAAATTAAATTAAAAAAATCACTTTTTAAAAATCATTAGAATGGAAGTTTTACCATGTATGTATATACGAAGTCCTATCCAAGTTTTTCTGACTAAAGTTCCACAATCATAAGGACTGAAATTGAATACTCAAATATTACATTACATAATAGGCTAGTGACCTCCAGCGCAATGTTCCTTAAAAACGAAAGAAATCCTCCCTCTTCACGCATCCAATTCTGATAGTTGAAAATCAATCCACTAATTTTTACTGCTACAATCTTACCCACTGCAGAAAATTCAGAGACACTGCACGAATTGATCGTTGTTGTTCAATATTGAAGAAAGGGGTTGACTTTGAGGAGTGGTAAATTGCACTGCAGTAGCCAGTAGTTGTACCTCACTCGATCAGAACTTGCAATGGGATCCGGCGCCCAGTCACTGGAAATGTGGAGAGGCAAAAGAGTCTCGATCTTCATTGTAATTGCGTGCACAAGCCTTCTCTGCAGTGCGTTCAACGGTGCTCTTGCTACAGTACCCGAATTAGGATCCACCCGTGTTGTCTTTCAGGTATAGATTTATATATATATATATATATATATACACACTTGCATGTGTGTGTGTTTTTATTGATTGCGGTATTGATCACATGATCCCGGGTGATTTTGAAATATTGGGATTTTAGTGTAGGTAAATCAATACATACGAAATCATGAATTCAGCATTAATGTTTGCATGATCAACAGGAAATGACTGAGTAATTGTGTTATCTGGATAAATTTTTTTATTTTTTCATTGGTTAGGAGAAACTTGAATTCTTGAGGCTGGGCATGTACTCTTTGAGTTAAATCATCCAAAACGTGAAAGAGAATTTCGAATTATAGTTTTATTTACAACTTGTAATTATTTGATCTATCAGAATTTGGATATTTGCATCCTATATTTATATGCATTTTCTGAGTGAAATTTCATGCCTTAAGAGGGTAGTATATTTTCTTGAAGCAAGTTCCATCTTCCGATTGGTTGGGACAAGAAATCTTGGAGTTCAACTAGAAAAAAGTAGAATAAAAGGTTAAAACTCATTGATAGCATGTACTTAAAGAAATAACACTTCAAGAGTGAAAGGATTAACTTAGTTTACCTTGTTATCGTGAGAATTCGGTTTGGATGTGGTGTCATAAGCTCCAATATAGAGTTTCAGTGGATGTTATGTTGATTTATTGCGGATCGATTAAAAATTGTCTTGATTTTGCTTTACCTTTTCATAGATGCTGTTAGCCATTTGGTCTTTTGAATAATGTGGCATGCTTCATATGCAGACAAACTATGGGGACATTGAATTTGGTTTCTACCCTAGTGTTGCACCAAAAACGGTTGAACACATCTTCAAGCTTGTTCGACTGGGATGCTATAATACCAACCACTTTTTCCGGGTGATACTTTGGACTAAGAAAAGTTAATACTTTTGACGTGTTGATTATGATTAATGCAAAGTAACTGATGGAAATTGTTTACTGTAAAGGTTGACAGAGGGTTTGTTGCCCAGGTAGCGGATGTCAATGGAGGAAGAAGTGCTCCTATGAATGCAGTGCAGAAGTTGGAAGCTGACAGAACTGTTGTCGGTGAATTCAGTGATGTCAAACACGTAAGAGGTATTCTTTCCATGGGAAGGTAAAGTCTGCTGCTAAAAATTTTAATCACTCAAAATTTCATAGACTTCTTTGTTCTTTAAGTTTATATACAAATTACAATTAAATAATAATTACTTGATTTCACTTGGATTGTGTATAGCCAAAATTTCAATGATGAATAGCACAAAGGAGTATGAGGTTTAGCTATGTTTAAACTTTCATTGTGACATAAGTCTCACATGATAAACCTTATAATCTTTTCGTTAGTTTTAATAATATTTTCAATTCACTGGGTGAGGGTGCCTGCTAATATTTGTGGCATTGTCGTGGATGTTGGGATTGGTGGTTTAATCTGTTCTGCGGCGTCATGTTTTGCACTATAAATTTCACATGATGTGTTATAGCACACAAGATGGAAAACTAAATTATTGGTATGTATACAATGATTAAAAATAAGAATACTTTTCTAATTATCTGTTGATTTACCTCTTACTGCCATTACATTTTATAAGTTTAACTTTGCTGTACCTTGTGATAGATTTTCTGACCCAGACAGTGCAGCATCCTCCTTCTCAATGCTCCTTGGAGATGCCCCTCACCTTGATGGCGAGGTATGATGGAGAAGCTTTTTTGCCCTTTATTTCTTTCTTGTATATTTCTGATGAATTATATCACGTATGGCATAACTTATTGAATGCTCTTCAGTATGCTGTATTTGGTAAAGTTACAAAAGGTGATGAAACTTTAAGAAAGCTTGAGCAACTCCCTACCCGGAAGGAAGGAATCTTCGTCATGGTATATTTTATCATCGTCACGTTTGTAAATATGATTTAATTATATATATATATATAATTGTAAATAGAAAACTACTAAAATGCATTTATTTCCTATCCTCAATCATGTAGCTTATTCATTAATGTGGTCCTGCTCCTTTGGAGTAGCTTATCAACTGTATGATAAGTCTGTAATCCCTTCAATTGTTCAACATCACTGTTTAATGCAAGATGTGCTGTTCGGAGTTTTCTGAATGCTGATTTCAGATGTTATTTTCAGTTTGGTACCAAAAAATTTATGCTTCTGAACTTTCAAGTTAATTCTTGATAGTTATTTGTATTTTACCGAAAGTGATACCATTAGTGGGCTTCTATTTGATTACTCATTAACAAAATTTCCTGTTTCCTTCTGATGTTTGTGTTGTACCTTAAGCTTGCTTACTTCCTTTTTTCCAGCCAACTGAGCGCATCACAATATTGTCATCATATTATTATGGTAAGAACTCAGCATCTTAACAGGTCATTTTGTAGTTTTTCTGGTCATTTTCAATTAATCTGACTTGGGCATGCATGGGAATACCTACATACAGTTCTTTAATGGTGCCATCTAGAAAATTTGTTTCTTTGAGATTCAACTAATCAACAATCACAATTCTGAACTATTAGGTAGTTTGTTTACTGTCATTGGAAATAATGCAGGATATACTAGTTTAGCTGTTTTATTTTAGGTCGAGTGGTAATCGTATGTTGCTTTACTGTTGTTTTTCTCTTTCTTCCTCTAAGACTTCAAATAACTCAAGCACTTGAATTAGTTTGACCAGAATTCGTCTTTGATAAACTGTCCATGGAATCAACTTTCTACCAGTCAGAATTTCTTTACATTTAATATTTAGTCATGAAAACAATTATATGACGTTTAACATAATATGGTTATATAAGATCATTTTGTTTTCTGTTTTCCTAATTTCCCTTGCGTTCTTTGACATTGTCATTTTTTCTTAAAGGAATGGTTGCTTTTCTGATATCCCGCCCGGGTTTAATATTTGGACTGTTCCTTCATACAACACTATTTCAAGCTGAACAGAAAGTTTGTGAATTATCTGAAAAATCATGTTGCAATTTGAGTATCCTTATTTCAGTAAGGAGCAAAGTAATGCTTTAATTATCTTCTTTTCCATGGATTGTCTAATGTCTTAATGCAGTTTTTCCAGGTTTAATTCAACAAAATTCTTCCTTATTTTGTATTTCCTTATATTGCCACCTGAATTAAGTATTCATTAATCCACTCCGTCATTTTGTCAAAATATTATGACTTTTGGAAAGTATAGCTTATTGTGATTTATCGTAGATACCGAGACAGAAACTTGTGAAGACGACAGGCTAATGTTGAAACGGAGGCTTGCAGCATCTGCTGTTGAAATCGAAAGACAGGTATTCAACTATTATCAGTTATTCAGATTTTGTTTTGAAAGAAATACATATTTTGGTTATACCTTTGACCAAGAACTCTTCCAATGGACAATACAGAGAATGAAGTGCTTTCCATAAACTGGAGAGAGAAATTGAGGCCAACCGGATTGCTATTCCATTTGCTGGGCAAGTGGATGGGGCAGATATTTGTTTGGCATAGGAATTAGTATTCTTAATATTCACAGTAGCGATAATTGTCTTCATACATGAGGGTGACATTGTCGTCTGAATTAAATGTCTTCAATACACACCAAATCAGTTGTTTGTTCCTTTTTGTTAACTATAAACATGTGTTTATGAAATCACATTTTCTCGTTCCAAAAAGCAGCAGTGGTATATTGAGCCTAACTGGACCACCTGTCCTCAAATTTAAACTTGAATCCAAGAACTTTCTTGTGAGTGATTGTTCTTGCATAATTATCATGTGCCTTTTCTGTGTACTCATGTTTAGTACGAGATCTGAATCTGGATAGTAAAACTTTGTTTGTTGCCCAAAATTTACCATGATGATCAATTGATGAGATCTTCCAGGGAGAAGGTACATAGACAATACACGTTAACTATTATAGATCTAAATTTCTCTGAGCATACGATTCAGTCCATTTCACCACATATGATATCTCAACGGTGCTAATGTTTTTCGTCGCCCTTATATATTAACACAAAAGAAATGAGACTTGTAGAAATTTCATCGTGCTTTAGTTCTTTTATTGTAGTGGCAACAGTATCTTTTGTTGCGTTTCAGCATATCATAATTTGAGATGAATACCTTTGCTTCGGAATGCAAGATGCATTTTTCTAGATGTTGCTATATGTTTTTCAAGGTCCCGACAAGGCTTTAGAAAATTTATATTTGACACACAATCTGAGCACAACATGATCCTCCTTATTTTCGTGCACTTAAACCAGAATCCCATCAATGCCTGCAATTTATGGGATTAAAATGGGTTGGGCGTTCCAAGTAAGGTCCGGCACAGGCCATGCAGTGGGGCGGTCTGCCCCTAAAGCCTTTCTTGACTGCAGGGGGCCAGCGCAATGCTGGCCATGCTAGGTCTAGCCAGGCTCGCACGGCCTTGTTGAGAGGGTGACTCAACACGGTCCAACTAATACTTCTAATGCAACTAGATAAACATTTTGACTTCTTGTCATCTAGGGATCATAGATGAATGGGGAAAACGCACCACATGATAGAAGATTTATCTAAGCTAAGGACTCAGTTTATGGGCTCTCACTCTCTCTCTCTGTTTATGTGGTTCCTGTGTGTGATGGGGGGGGGTGGTATGGGGTTGGGTGGAATGAAAGGTCCATCTTTGACAATGCCTATCGTTATGTACATGGGTTGTTGGGTGTATTCACTAAGGACTGCAAATTATATGGGACAGAGAAAACTGCAGTCATGTGGGCAATACATGCAAATGTTGCTTTATTTTTGACAGAGATTTTTTTATGGATACGACTTATGAATAGTCGCAATGTATCCTGATTATATATGCACAAACTCAAATTTTGATGTTATATGAATTTATAGTGTGAACTTTCTCGAGGACAGCTCACCCGATTGAGTCAAATTTGAAAAAATATGTTCGATTCTGGGTCACCTCTTGTCGATAATGAGTTATTGACTCGGCTAATTTGACTTGATAAAAGAATATTTGACACTGGAATGAGTAGAGGTGTAAAGGTTTGTGGAACCAGTTTTTCCATTTATACAGAAATGGTTTCATAGAAATAATACAGAATACTCACATGGGTGGGTCTCATATGAATAAATAATGAAAAACAAAATAAAATTACCCCCACTTGCTATATGTGTTCTGGAGGGGTTCCCTTTGTACACGCATGAGGGTTCTTGTGGAACTATGTTGGTGCGGGTAGCTTAGACACATTTACTTCTAGTTTGGGACGGACTTCTTGGGTGGGGCCTACTTATAACAGCTTGTGGCTTAGTCGAACAAAGATAAAAAGAGAAATAAGAGAAGACATTCCCAGTGGACCCAGTACTATGAACCACTTGTTATGCACCGTTTAGCAAAAAAATAAATGGTAACTACTATTAATCGAAAGTATGCAAGGGTCGTTTCACATGACTTTTGGAAAGGGGAAAGGAGTTTTTGAGATCTAAAAACTGCTTTTGAATTCGTTTGGCTAATTTTTTAAAATTGCTTTTTCTAATTGGAAGAGTTTTTAAAAAAGTTAGTTCAATGTGATTTTCTCTAAAAGCACTTTTGGAATAAGAAGTTCTTTTTTCAAATTAAGATAGTTTCATCCAAAAGTTCTTATACAAGGAGTAGAATTAAAAGTAAAAATCATGCCAAACGGCACATTGTTTCATTATTGAATAAGGTTCAATGCGTATAATATAAAATATGAAGAGATTTTTAACTATTCGAGTTCATTTGTGGCAATTCTTGAATGGATATGGTGGTAAATTTTTTAGTTACTATATCAAGTCAGTAAAATTGGATAGTTAGGAATAGAGGATTAAATACATTGAGATGAGAAAACGTAATGCGAACATTAGTTTTTGGTTCGATAGTGGGACTTGACTCGTATGGTATACTTATACCTTTCTTTTAAACAATGATTTTTGACGAGCTGATTGAATAAGGGTATGTTTGAGCCACATTATTCCAAAAAAATACATTCTTAAATAGTGATTTGACATAATTTCAACCACACATTTTTCAATAAAATAATATTACACGCAGATAAAAAAAATTTCCTTATTTTTTGACCACATATTTCCCATCAATACACTATTCAAGAATGTATTATTACCAAAATAATGTGGCTCAAACAACATTTTTTGACGACAAGTTTGACTTTTGAAGGTGCCATATAGAATTTAATGTTAATTTTTTTAATCGAATAATCATCAGTGGAAAAATTAGATGCTTGAATGACTATTACATTAAGAAAATAACATCAATGACTATTGAATAATTTCTCAAAACTTCAGTAATTATTTACACGTTCAAACAACTACTATAAATCCCTTCTAAGATTATTTATATTTTTGGGAAAATTTCATTTCTAAGAAGGTAAGTATACCTCATTTCAAAATTAAGAACAAAGGTTTAAACTTTCAAAAATCAGATTTTTTTAAATTTTATTTATAAATTAATTTATTAAACATATATTTTATTAATTGAATATATTTAGGTCACAGTTTTTGGTCACAAATCACAATTATCTAATTAATTAGTCACAGATTAATTTTTAGTCGCAATTTATCAAATTATTTGTTGCAACTTATTTTTCGACCACAAATCGAAAATTTTACAAGTCACGAATCCAAAAATTTTATAGGTCACAAAATTTTCATCGATCACAAATTCAAAAAATTTATTGGTCACAAACTCATTTACTCATTACAAATTATTTAATAAATTGGTCGCAATTACAGCTTCGTCAATTGTGAGTCACAATTTTCAGGTCACATGTCCGATTATTAGTCACAATCAACCAAACCGCACCATCACAACTACAGCCGCAACCAACTGTGACTCCAAATTGTGAATCACAGTCACAGGCCACTTATCCAATTATTTGTCACAAAAACCAATCCCCCACAACAACCACCGTCACCATAGTCATGCAAATCACCAACATCAGCCCATTGTCGCTGCACACAGGTCACCGTCGCTGCACACACACCAACACACCCACGCACATACACACAGTCACAGATCGTTAAACACCATCAACGCCAACACCGCAACCTCATGCAGACCAACATGTCCAACACCACAAT